AAATAATAGCATTTATATATATAAGTTTAACAGTATAACTTAATGGCGTAAGCTGTGGTGTTGTATATGTACATTTTCTAAATAAATAAATAAGCAGCTGAGCTCAATCTCCCCGAGAGCGCCTTTATATGCGGACCCCATTGTACCCTATTGTCTAACGAAATGCCTAAAAATACCGTCTCGTCGACAAATTTTAACTTTTGACCGTTCAAAACAATATTACAATCGTTACTACGCACATCTGGTAAACTAAATTTAATACATTTGTTTTTTTTCTCATTCAGTGCTAGATTGTTAATGGTAAACCAATAATGCACTCGAAGAATGGAGCTGTTCACGCCGTCAAGATTATACGTCGATACAATATTGTACGTCGATCTATTTTAAAATTAATCATGTATCATCTGCAAAAGCACCATTCTTGGTTCATTTTTAAATATAAATGGCAAATCATTTATATAGACTAAAAAGAGAAAGGGACCCAATATTGAACCTTGAGGAACGCCCATATTCATCCCAGTTTAAGTGTCTTTCTTCTAAATAAGATTTCATAAGACGGAGCGCAGAGTTTCTTATCCCGTAGTGATCTAATTTCAGCAAAAGTGTCTCGTGGTCAACGCAATCAAATGCTTTTGAGAGGTCACAAAAGACACCAATAGCATCCTGTGCTTCCCAAGCACCAAATATTTCCTTAATCAAAGTGACACCGGCGTCAGTTGTGCAACGACCTTTAGTGAAACCGTATTGTTGTTGGTGAAAGATGGAATGTTTATTAAAATGATGAAGCATCCGAGACAGCATCAACTTTTCAAAGACCTTGCTGAGAACCGGCAAAACACACACTGGCCTATAGTTGTTAGGTTCTTTAGTGTCACCATTTTTAAATAGTGGGATAACTTTACTACATTTCATTAGGTCAGGGAAAACACCGTCATCTATACATTTATTGAAAATCACAGACAGGATATAGCCTACAGTTTGAATCAGTGACTTGCAAACTTTTACCGACAATCCCCAAAGATCCTCCGTTGGTTTAGTCTTGATTACTTTAAAAACTTTTATAATTTCTAGAGGATTCGTGTATCGAAAACTAAAGTGTCGTGTTGACATTATTCTATGTTGTTCAGCTAAGTTACTGAGAGGTTTGCTGATGACTTTAAATGTTCAGATTTTTTGATAGGAATGTTGGTAATAAAAATTTCAAACTCCTGGGCTACATCTACGTTTGTTGAAATCTTTCCCCTTTCGGTATTTAAATTTAATTCTGAGCTTCTTAATCTTTTCCTACCAGTCTCGTTGTGTATAACTTTCCAAGTAGTTTTTATCTTATCATCAGACGATTTTATTTTATTACTAATATAAAGACGTTTCGGGACTTTGCATACTACTCTAAAGGTTTTTGAATAAGATGTTACATACGGTTGAAATTGGGGGTCGTTTTTGTACGGTTTCATTCCATAAAGTTCAAAAAGTCTGTCTCTACTCTTACGAATACCTACAGTTGCCCAATCGCTAAATACATATTTGGTATGAATATTTTTATTGTTTATTGGCAATGTATTGTTAAATTCCTTGTCTAACATCTCAAAGAAATCGTAGAATTGTAGAATTTATTCAGATTACTAGTATCAAATAATTTCATACATAATTTAGTAGCTAAAGAATTGCTCAATTTCTTAAATCAAATACTGCAAGATTCTGATAATTAGGTGGCCTATATACAAAGACAACAACATGTCTATCCAGCTCAACATAGGACAACTCAATGGTGTGTTCAACTGACAGTGCTACAATATCTTTCCTTCCTTTTGATTTAATACTATTTTTTACTAATATTAAGGACCCACCATGTAACATATGCTTTCTACTGAAATTACTAACTACATTATAATTATCTAAATTTAAAGATATTAGTTGGTCCTCCTTAAGCCAATGTTCTGATAGACAAATTACATCAAATTTAGTCTTTTCCATAAACATCTCTAATTCAAGGACTTTTGAGGAGCAGTCCTGAATGTTAATATAAAATAATTGTAGATTGTGCTGCCCCTGAGTATAATTGTACTGTGCTTTTTCCTTGCCAGAAAATACCTTATTATTTATATTATGATTTATGAAGGTTTGTTCTATTGTCTTAAAATCTAGTTTATACTTAACTTAAAATGTGGCTCTGTGCTGTTAGGCACTCTAGACAGCACAGATTCGTCCTTAAAACTACTTTCTGTTATACAACTTATAACAGTGTTAATATTATATGCTATCAGTATTGCAATTTTTTGTCGACATTTGTTTGAAAGGTGTAAGTTTCTTTGTAAAAACAAAATTACTAATAAATTTATTAGTGTCAAAAAATAAAAGTCTGTCATTGTGACATGTCATTTGGTGTAGTGTATTGTTAGGACACCTATGTTTTTGTTCTTAGAGCTTGATAAACTATTAGAATATGGGAAGGCACACAATATTATCTTCCCTGTGTTCAAGATCAACAAGGTGTCCACACCGTTCACAATGTCCCCTCTTGTTATTCCTAAACTATTACCTAATATTAAAACTAAAACTGATTTTTCATGTAAATCTGCATGAGTTATTTGTTTAATAATATTTTTTTTATAACTCATGTTGTGGTAACTGTTGTTTATAAAACTTTGATTAAGATGACCATACAACATTTGGCCAATTCCAGAACCCAACTCATCACTGTAGACATGGGTTTTATAATTTTGCGTATCATTCGGTTGAGTATTTATTGCAACTTGAGTAGGTAGCAAAAGTGAAGTCTCCGGAGGCTGAGGTCGATTCACACAACTGCATTCTAGATTATTTGTTAAGGATTCATACCTTTCTGCCTTGTTCTTCACCAAATCCATCAGCTCAGAGGCCGCGAGCAGGTGCTCACTCAACTGTTGTTGGGAATATTTGTATTTCTCAAATATCTCCATCAACATACCTTCTTTTGTCATTAAATCATTATGAAGCCTTGTTATGTTTGAGTCATACATTAATCTACAGCGGTCAAGCTCACTGGTGCAAGATTGAAGATCTCTAATTAAATTAATTTTATCTTTGCTTAGCCTCAGGTTCACTTTTCTTAATTTATGTTTTTTAAGTGATTTCTTAATTTTATTTAACTCGTCGAGTACCGGTTTTGTAGACACAATTATAGAACAATAGGTTGCGGTCACCGGTGACCGCTTGGTGTTTGACAGTTTAATTAACTTATTAATTTTAATGTATTTTTTAAATTTATTGTGTGATTCGAAGGGGCATATGTGTACAGTGTCATCACCAGTCAGATCAATTGTCACTGGCTCTGGTACCTCACAGTGTAACCTACTACCTACTAACTCATCGAACAATGTATGAGTGTGTGTATTTTGTTCTACAAATTTATTTGTTTGCGAGGTAGAGATTATGCTATGGGCATCGTAGTTCAGACTCTAATTCGGCAATTGTGTTTAAGGCTGCTAGGTGTGTATCACTACACTCCTGGAACGTAGAGACAGTGTACTGCAGCTGGTTGTGTTGGTCGAGTATGTCCATATACTGGACATGTAATTCAGCCAGTTCGTTCTTGAGGGATGTGTTCTTATCAATTATGTTCTTAACTTCGACTTCACTATCTATTCTCTCGTTCTTTTAGTCGTTGGCTGCATAGCTCTTTTGAGGTCTCCAGTTCCTTTAGAGTCAGCCGCAGTTTGTCTTCTAGGTCCTTTACGGTGGTAGCCCTGCGTGGCATCATGTTGCCGGTGTATAGCTTACTTCCTTGTGAAACAGAAACTAAGTGTTGGCAATAATTAAAGAAAATAATACTTGATAATGAAGGTAGACCGAAAATAAAGATAAAAGTTAAAATTAAGTGAGAGGATTAATAAATGGAATGGAAACAGATTAAAACTATTATGATTACAGAGTGATAGGAAGAAATATTACAACAAAACAAACTAGTAATGAGTACTTAGTATATGAAAGGTCAGAAAACAAAAGTACAGTATCTAGTAGCTATATTGAAATTTCAGTATAGTAGTGGTCTAATGTGTTAATGTGAAGACAGTTATGTAGTGTTTTTAAGTAAAAAACGACTAAAAAAGCGACTAAAACATAGCCCAGATAAGTGTCAGACAAGTGTCTGGGCTATGTTTTAGTCGATCGATTCTGCTTCCACTTATTGTCAAGCAAAAGGAGATATAAACGGTGCCGGTGTGTACGGGACGTTACTCAAAGACCTGAGTAGAGTAAACTTGTAAGTGGTGTTTGTATCCCAATTATAGCCACACTGTACACCGTTAACTATTATAAAACAATAATATATGGAAGAAAAATACAATACTCCCCCGGTTTTGTGATTTCAAATCCACGGTAGTCGTTGTTCCTTTGACCTATTGTCGCCCGTGGTAGCCACATGTATAGTCAGTACCGTATGTACCATAAGGGCACTTGGGGCTCGTGCCCAGGGTCGACGGACACGCTTGTAGCGCAAGGCCGAACTTGTAACGGGTTCAATTCCCGCAGCCAAATCTTTACGTGCTCCACAAATCGTTGTTTAGGGGTCTGGGCGTCATGTGTAAATGCACCCATGATACAGGAGAAAGTTTTAGTCTATGGCAACGTTAAAAAAACATTCCAAAGGGCCCCAAATTATTGAGTAGGTACCTAAGGGCTTTGTGTATGGTGGGGAAAAAGGTACAACGATTATATTACCTTAAGTTAGTGCTGACTAATTAGTATCTCTGAGCACACATTGACAATTTGTATGGACACACATTTACATGTGGTTGTGACACCTACATGATATTGATATTGACCTTCGAGGGCATAATTATAATATTAAAAGTATAAAAAAACTTGACTAACGCTTTAACATCTTAAATGCTTTTAAAATTTTAATTTCATTACGAAATAGGCCCAGTGATATCATGAACACACGGGTGCACGTGAATAACTTTATAAAGACAGTGGACCATAGATATTGGGTCAATCCTCGAATGTATCGGCTCGTGAACACACACAAATTTATAAATAAAATGTTATGTTATTAGTTTAATAATTATCTACAATGATTGTTAGTATATTGATCGCGTTAGTATGTATATGTTTGGCGTATGTGCTCCTGTGTCGGTGGTACTTCCCAGTGAATGATCAAGTGGCGACATTCCCAGGGAAATGGCCGCTCATTGGTCATGCGTACAAATTCTATTCCTCTGTAGGTAAGTTCAAAATCAGTTTAGTTTCACAGTCTTGTTCTTGTTGTACTGCTTCTATAATAGTTTAGGCAGCGTCATTGCTGTCTTCAGTCTCAATTCCACCAATCATACCTCGTAACGGTGATGCAATATCTACTGAATTCAGGCAACTCTTGCCAATTGTAAACTTTTCTTTGGATTACTATTTTAATTTTAATTAAGAAAAACGTGAAATAAGTCTCTCCACAGAGATGGACCAGGACCAGACCATCCAGAGGATGATATGAAACTACAAAATATTGAAAAAGAAAAGAAAATATATGAGAACGAAAAATTATCTCTATGTATTTTAAATTAAGAAAAATGAGAAATAATCATCGGTAAAATGATAGATACTCAGAATACTTAAAAAGAGTTACTAAATAATAATAAATAGTCCGAGACCTAATTACATTTCTAATATTTAATTTGTTGCAGGGACATTTCAAAATATGATGGCGTTTGGGGAGTATTCGGTGAAAATTGAAGATATCGTACGGTTTAATGTGGGACCTATGCCTGTATACGGTTTGTTACTCGTGTAATCAAAAATATTTTAAAACATATCAACATCTAACTTTTCATTATCCAAGGGTTCGGTCCTAGTCCTAGTTATGGCGTATCCATGGGCGCTTAGGGTTTATCCCGTAGCCCCATAGGAGACGGTGGCACGGTGGTCATGATGATCTCATCATCATCATCAACATCAACAACTCGTTAGTGTCACTACTGAGCAAGGCCTCTTCTCACATTTATGGCGTTTCATTGTCGGCCTCTATTTACACCAATAGACGGTGGTGGTACGGTATGTATGTAGCACTGAGATATGACAAACAAAATATTTTTCAGTTGTGACAGACCCTGAAGATGTCTCTACAATCCTCAACAAATGTTTGGACAAACTGTTTGTGTACAAATTTGCAAAACCACTGTTGGGCGACAAATTAATAATTGGTGAAGGTAATTTCTTTTAGATGCCTATAATATTTTATGAATGATTAGTAGTAATTATCAGTATTTTGTATACTAAACGTATCTGCAGCGCTTATTACTTACTAAGTATAAGTGGACTACACTATTCGTACTTATATACTTCCTTAAAAATAATTCGATAGTCATAATATTTCCACCATTCCAGTTCCTGTATGGAAGCGAAATCGAAAAATTTTAGATCTTTGCTTCAAGCAACACATATTGGACGACTACCTCCAACTGTTCAAAGAACGCGCTGAGCGGTTTGTTGAGACGCTCGCGGAAGACGTTGGTCAAGGTGAAGTGGACCTCATCCACAAAATCACAAGGAGTGTTTTAGAAACATCATGCCGTGAGTATTTTACCATATGGAATTGGGCCTCTCGTAACCTTATTCATACGACGAAACACAACGAAAGCGTAGTTTCACGTCGGTTTTCTGTGAGGATGTGGTATCACTCCGGTCGAGCCGGCCAATTCGACGTGGCTCTTCTTGTATTGTTATACTGTAGATCTAGTAACACCCCTTACTATTTATTTTTTATGTTTTCGATGTACAAAATTTACACTTCTACATTTTTATTTTATGTTTAGATAGATGCCATTCAATAATAGAGATACTTCTTCCAGTAACTACATTGGGAGTAAATCTTGATGGCAAGGATGAAATTAACGATAACTACGCCAGGGCACTTAATGAGAGTTTCAATATTCTCTCTGACAGAATCTACAAACCTTGGTTCATGATTAATCCAATCTTCAACTTATCCAACAGAAAAAAGAGGTTAGACAAGTTACTCGAAGCAGTGGCTAGCTATACCAAGGATGTGAGTATAACAATACAAAAAGTGTTGTAGCTATTATATATTAGGTTAGCTGTTTTTTTTCTAAGTTTCACCTACAAAATTGTATGTCATGGCATTATCTCCTAATCGAAGTTTTGAGTGATGCTGAAAATTCGTTGGTAGGACAAGAAGCAAGCAAGGTTTAAAAATAGATTTGTTTCGAAGGTAGATTTCATTTTGAAGTTAAATAATAAGGATTGGTTTTAAAAACGATTCGATATAACTTTTAGAAGGCTATAATTGATACCATGATTCATGATGAAATAACGATTACAGATAGTGCATCAAAGAATGAAGGAATATTTACAGCCTTTGCAAGAGAAAGAGAACTTCAGTTATAAAGGTATAATAATAGTCATTGCATGGTTATACAACCATTGGTATTGTTCCATGAACTGAATTTTAATTAGATGAAAGGTTTTGTGGCTGAGAAAACTTCCAATTCTTTTATATTCTTTTCTAGGTGGCAGCCAAGTAAGCGTCTTAGACGTAATGTTAGGGAACTCTGTTACCGATTTTATCTTCACTGATATTGAGCTTAGACAAATTATGGACACTGTGCTGGTCGGTGCTTTCGATACCACTATCCACCAGATGCTATACGTTTTGATCTGCATCGCTAGCAGCCCTCAAGTACAGGACAAGATTATCCAGGAGTAAGAATATTCAATTATTTTTTTACATTGATCCATGTTTGGTTGGAATGTTTTCTTACATCTCTTACATATATTATAAACGTTATAGGATGAATACAGTTTTGGGTAAAGATGGACAGCTTGAAAAGGATAATCTGTCTCAAATGGTATATTTGGATGCAGTTGTCAAAGAAGTTACCAGATTGTATCCCATTGTTCCAGTTATAGGGCGAGATGTGAAAACACCCACAAGGTTGCGTAAGTATAATTTTAGAAAATATTACTTTTTAAAACTACAAGATTAGTTAAAATGCCATGGTTTGAATTTCTTTGCCACTTAATTGGTTAAAATTACTTACATATGTATGTATAAAAATAGTGTGGATATCTCATCCACACTCTATTTTCGTTTACTTATGTTGCTCGACCAAATATTGCTGTCTTTTTAATTAATTATAAAATTCTCAGGTAATGTGACGATTCCAGCTGGTAGTTCTGTTGTTGTACATGTATGGAGTACAAATAGAAACACTAAATATTGGGGTTCAGATGCAGAAGAGTTTAGACCAGAAAGGTGGTTAGATTCCACAACTGTACCAAACCATCAAGCTGCATATGCTACGTTTGGGCCAGGAAAAAGAGGATGTGTTGGTAAGTTACTCACCTTACACTTCCATCACCCTCAATTGAACATTTTTTATTATCAGTTATTGAGTTGGGGAGACAATATTTATTAATTTATTTTATTCATTGAAGTACAAAAACTGAACTTGAATTTGCACTTCCTTTTCAAAGTAAGGATTGTTTCTGTATGTAAAAAAGTCCCTCAAGGAAACATTGTATTGCCAAAATTAATCATTTTAAATAAGGAAAATATGACTTTAAAAAGAGACTGCTTAATATTATATTTTGTAACCTACCCATTTTATTTGAAATAAAACAAGGAGGTGTAGTTTCTAAAATTAAATATTTTTCATTCACAGGTAAATCATATGCGCTAATGTATTTGAAAGCAACAGTCGTAGCATTATTGCGCAAGTACAAGCTCACGGCAGATCATACAAAAATGAAATTAGAATGTAAAATAATGCTTAAACCTGTGTCAGGACATTTGATTAAAATTGAGAAGAGAGATGAAGACATACAAATAAAGTGATAGATATTGTTATTTTCTTAGTAATGTAAGTTTTATTTAATGTTGTCGTCTGTAGGTACAATGGTGTTATAAGTGATTGTTGTCACGTCTGTGGTTTACCTAATGTTACGTGACTTCTAAACATACCTAGTTAGAGTTACCTGTTTAATGTATCATAACATCACTTAATGCCACTGTACAATGTAACACCTACTTTTCACTATTTATGTCATGAGTCCCATGTAATAGGGGGTGAGATATGAGAGTAATGTATGTAATTACACAAAACAAAGAACTTATTAATATTATTCATAGTATTTTATTAGTGAAACCACATCTAGTAGATATAGTGGTGATACACTGCAGACACATTGAAGAACAACAAACAAATAGCACCTAGCATACAACAACGAGCAACAAATTCTCAACGTACAATTTCTGGACAGTAGCTTACCGGAGATCATAGCATGATCGAAGAGAAACATTCGTTCTATACATACTATCAAAGAAGAAGACCTTTTTAAACATTCAATGCAATTGATTAGTTGGGAATGCTTAACTCATGATGTTGACTATCGAAGGCTTGCTCAAAATCCACGCAACTGACACACATAAATTTCTTTATTCATATTGATATACAATACTTCTCTATGTTGACGTAAATAATAGGCTCCATTTATTGTTCGTCGTGGTCATGTGTTTATATGACTACAAAAATGGAATTGACTGAGCAACGTGGAAGGTTTTTAATTTCTAAAAAAACATCGTTCACCAAACCAACCACATTCTTTGTTACATACCATAACATAACGCCTTTTATCTCTGAAGGAGTAGGTAGAGGTGCACGTCACGGCACTTAATACCACTACAATGTAACACCCACTTTTTTGTTATAATTCTTGCAAAAGTATTTTGCAATTTGATTAATATTTTTATTAAGGGAGTATTCAGAGAAGATTAGAGACGTTATATGTTTTATAGATTTAGATATATGTACGGTAAACAGTAAGTTAATGTTAAAAGGATAAGTAAGTAATCAATGTAAACACCCATCTTTAGACAGGTATTAATAAGTCCCATTTATTACAGGGTTAACCGACTATCATTATCACACATATTTACATAGTCATCGTACAAATAACTATGCTGTTTACCCCACCTAGGTAACATTAGGACTTAAAGTCAAGTTTGAGTCAAGATTGACTACGGAATAAGGTTGAAAATTCTTTAATTTTATTATAATACCTTACCGTAAATTATCACTTGCGATCGTCCGGCTAGTGAGCAACCTTACCTCCCTGACCTACTACGCTGTAGTAGTAGTCACGTAGGTGAGGTGGCTCACATATAGCCAATAGGTACTACCTTTAGTATTTTTTTATAGCATAAGCCGGTAAACGAGCAGACGGATCACCTGATGGCAAGCAATCGGCGTCGCCCATGGACACCTGGAACACAAGAGTTGTTACAAGTGCGTTACCAGCCTTTTGCGGATTAGGAGTTTGAGGATCGTTGGGATTCAGGAATTGGGGAGATTGGGGAAGGGGAGGGTAATTAGGCCTCCTAAGCATTACTGAGTTTTAAAAAAAGTCTCAGTAGTAGGACGGACTCTGGAATTGTGCCCGGTATATGGCAAAAGGCTTACCCCCTATTACAAGGGACTCATAACATAAATAGTGAAAAGTGGGTGTTACATTGTAAAGTGGAATTAAGTGCCGTAATGTGCACTTTTGCCCATCCCTTCGGAGGTAAAAGACGTCTTGTTATGTTATGTTATGTAGTTTCAGTAGAGGCTTTTGATGAGGTTTGATGATACTTTCAATTTTAGCGTTTTAATTTCAGTCTTCTTATTTATTTAAGTATATGTATGTAATTCTTATTTGTAATGGACAATAAAGAAATCATTTGATATGTGATCTGTTTTGTTAATAGGTTACTTTGATAATATTAGTTATAACTTATAAGGGTTCCTCAGGGCAACATTTTGTTGCCCATGTTGTTAAAAATAAATGGATTCTAAAAAATATTTTGTGTAGTGTATATGCATGTTTGAAAGCAACCGCTGTTGCATTATTCCACAAATTTTAGCTGATCACACGAATATTAAATTAAAATAAGAAGATTAATCTTTATAAAATCTTTCCTCTAAGTAAATCATACTTCGACAAGGTTTCTAAACATAACAAGTTCCTACGAACAGTAATGTAAAATTTTCCATTAGTAATTAATAACTTGTAGGGGATTCGAGTATTTATTGACCTTCACTAACTTGTTTATCAATATACCTCTATATATTTTTTTATTAAATTTCGGACATAGACGAATACGTTTTGAATGTACTGCTTACGTTCATAGCAAGTTTCATCTACCTAACCTTTGTCAATATGAACTTTATTTGCGTTCAAGGATACACCATGAGTATCGGAAAACCTGATTTATTCTCATTAAGGCCGTCACAGACCTAACGATCATTTACAGGGTGATTTGTTATCAGACCATAATCTCGTTTGAGGTAGTTGAATAGGTATATAATTTCCCACATTTTTGTTAAAAGAGATAGACGGAACTGAAGTTATTAAAATATTAAACTTTTATTGC